GCCATCTGAGTGCGGATTCGGGGATTCAATCCCTGTCGATAAGCACTGAGAAGAGCTGCCTTGCTCCATCTTTCCAGCCCTGGCGCAGCCGCAGTAGTTGGTCTGATAGCCAAACACTTCCTTGAAATGGTTAGTAAACGCTTCATAGGAATTAATTATGAGGCTATTGGCGTTCCATATTGCTTTCGCCCACATTAATGCTCTGCTAGAAAGGAGAGAAATCAAAAAGGCTACCTTATTGCGCTCGGTCGAGAATTTCTGTGGCTGCATTTCAATAAATAACACTATAAATAGCACTATAAATACAATAAATAGAAGGAGAAAGCCGCCACACCCAGCTACGTCACCCGCATAGGAAGGAGGCATGGACATGGGACTGACAGAGGCAGTTTGAGGAGTTGCTGCTGGCGTGAGAGTGGTGCTGAGACTAACTGAGCTCACGCCGACAGAGATCAGCCAGCCTCAGGACTCACACTCGCTTTCAACCATTCGGCCCACACAAATCATCAACACAGAGAAAGACAAGTATGTCACCCATTGGACAAACACCATTCAAACCCAACACAAATTAGAAAGTTATTCAGAACTCAGGTGAGCGTGATCTGGTGTAAATTGTGGCGATTCGCTGACAGTTGTATGTTTTGTGACACATTCAAAATGAAATCTCCAGTGAACAGCATTTTATTACAGTGGTTGCTGTTCCTATGGTGGTAGTTCGGAAATTAAATGTCCACTGAGTGATGCTAATGCTCTCTTGCAAATAACATACCACCTACCCTAAACCTGACTGATAGTGTTGAGTAAATGTAAAATAAACACATTCAAAGCAACCATGCCATTTTAGCTTTCTTCCACAAATCTATGAGCTCTTTTATCTTGACTTATTCCATGTTTGAATACTGGATTCTCATTGGCTGGCAGGTATGCAGTAAAACCGTTTAATGCACAGGTATTTCCAAGTCAGTTAAATCACCATTCTATATTAATGCGTTTCTTTAATTGATGCACACTAACCAACACGCATCACTCGCACGCACACACATACACAGAGAGAGAGAGAGAGAGGTCAGAGATCGCTGATTGTGCTGCGCACACACACAAACTTGTTGTCAACGCTTCCCCGTGTTTTTCATTAATAAAATGGCCTAGATACTAGATCGCTACATTATATTCCCCAACAACTAGGTGGTAAAATAACAGTTTTTGAAGTAATTGTTTGTACAGAGAGACGCGGTTCCCACAGGTACAAATAACTGTTTTCTCTCTCTCTCTCTCTCTCCACTTGGCATCAGGCGGTTATATGCCTCCACATTGTGCATTTAAAATCCTTTAATGCATGGCTAGCCTTTGATTATCCCTTACTTGTGTGTCACAGGACTTTTACACGAGTGCTCTTCATCGCAAGTACACTGCTGTACCAGGTGAGCTACAGAGCAAGTTTACTTCATCAGAAAAGCCATATATATTGAGCTGGTTATTTGATCTCAAAATCCATTAGTTTACGAACCTTGCACTAAAAAGTGTTTTGAGGTCATAACACAGTACTGTGCAAGAAACCGTGCTAGAAATTAGTCTTTATTAATCAATGAAATCATAATTTGTGTGAAAAGGAATAAACGTTTTTGCCATTTTACTGACACATGGTCATTTCGGCTGGAAACCCCAGTGAACTGTATGTACAGTGTAACACTTTTACCCAGGATAGCAACAGCTTAATGGGGTATGTTTTTGGAGTTTTGCAAAAAAAATTGGGTAGAGGCACATCTTTCCAAGGAGACTATTTTGAGTAAATAAAATATTGAACAGACAAACAATTTTATTAGCTTTCTAGTAGGCCCTTGTAGAGCTTACTTGTAACTCTTACTATGATAATACATTACAGCAAATAGTTGGAATCCATTCCCACGAAGATGGGGCAGGTGGACTGTAAGATTTGGAAAGGTCCAGGGTCACAACACCCCTCAATCATGGTTGGGAAATTCAACACATATCTGATGGACAACACTAGGAATGGCATGCCAGAGCTGGAGTTTTAGTGCTCAACACTATGATCTCTACATGGGAAACAGGCCAGCCATTATGGTGTTGAGAGGTTTCATCTGTGCACCCAGTGCCCCTTAATCTACTTTCCATGGTGAGTCTGTTCAGATCAGCATGTAGGCTGGCTGTGGGAACACAGGAGACCACCAGTGGCTTACTATACTGGGACACTAGACCATACAGATGAATGAAATGACTTAACATCATACAACATTTACTACAATGAATTTTTTTTTTTTACCTACCATCATGCATCATGTAAAAAAGAAATGGCTGAAAACAAAATGGCACAAGTGGCACACTTGATGTGGAGTTCACTCTTGTGGCCTTCACTCATGTTCATCCTTGAAGTCCATGCAGGTTGTCCCATTTGTTATTTTTAACTTCCAAAAGTGTGCTAGTCAATTATGGTTTCACAGGGGTAAAAAACAAAACAATAAATAACTGTAGTTAGTCTGGAACTTTACAGGAAACTATGGTTAACATGCTAAATAGTTCTGGGGATTGTTCCTTTGTTGTGTTTATGCTGACTGAGGGAGTTCATGAAAACAGCATCTTATTGTTTTGCTATTGTCATTGGGTATTTGCCTCCTGGTCTTCAGAATCACAAAAAGGGTTGAGGAGACTGGCCTTGGGTGATTATTGGACTGAGCGACTAATGACTGAGACAAATCATTAAAGTTGTGGAGAATGTGGCCAGTCAACCTGACACTCGCCGTTTCCAACCAACATAAGAAAGGACAAAAGAGCTCATTAGAGAAATGATGGGAAAACAGCATTTAACTTAAAAAGCCACAGAATGTTGCCCTGTCTTATTTTCAGGCTTGAAAGGCAATTCATTGTTCTGAGAAAAATGTGAGTTTGATTAGTCTAAGCATGTCATTGTTGACAGTAAGAGGGTTTGTTTAATCAGGGTCACTAGGTTTATAGTCTGACTGAGCAAAATTTTTGTTTTTTTGCAAGACACAAAAAAAGCTATGTGCAGAGTGCATATCTATGATTATCTACTCAATCATTTAAACAGGTTTATTTTGTATAGAAAACATAAATACTAATTCCAATTCAAATTACATGTTAAATTCAGGCAGTTGTTAAGCTAGGCAATAATGTAATGTACAAAATATAAGCATTCTGCTTTTTCCTTTATTTTATTTTCCTTTATTATTATTTATTATGTTATTTTATTATCTTATTTTAATTTTTTTTATTTTTTTTTTTATTTTATCATTTGACCCAACGTCTGTGTTTGTGTTTGAGTTCACATAGATAGACAAACCGCAGCACTTATAATTAACAAGAGTAAACTGACAGTGGCCAGTGTGTGTTTTTACTCTTTATACCCACAGCTGGCTGCAATCTGTCACTTACATACTGTACAGTTGCTTCATCTCTGCAGGAAAAACTTTTGTGCTACTAAAACTGCTTAGCGATTTACAATTAACACTCCAGTGTAAGGATGGAGAGTTTGACCAAAGTCTTTTAATAGCAAGCGCAGTATGAACAATTATATATCACAGTAATGGTAGTTACCTTTGCTGGACATTCAATCTAAGATTTCTTTCTTTAAATACTTCAAACATGAAAGGATCTTTTTTGGTTTTTGACTTCATGATGCAAATACAAAAGATTATACATAAGATATGAGTCAGTTTTGGCATCAGTGTAAAAAATGATTCAATTGATTGAAAAAAAAATCAATTTATAAAACAGCTGTCATATTTCTACAGTCTCACTGTAAATATATTCATCCCGCGCACCCTTGTCTGATGAGTCAGCTAATACCTGTTTCAGATTGCTGCTTCATCACTGAAGGGGAGAAATGCCCAGACTCAGCTGTCTCTGCTCGTCACTTTAGTCATGCAGACCTTTCCATCTTTCCATTAGAAAATATACCACAGCCATAACCTTTCTCTAATTCTGTTACACAGTCCAAAAGCATCCGTGCCAAAGCTGCAGCAGCTGCTGTGTGTCTCAAACACTGCTCATAGAGAGTTCATACAGAAATTAGTCTTTGTTCAAAATGATCCAGCAGTGCAATCGCTGCAGTTGTCTGAGATGAGCTACACTGACAAAGCTTGATTGTGCCAGGCTTCTTGTGTTGGGTCTTGCGCTGGGTTGTGATGGGTGTGTCTGGTTAAATTGGATTGTCTTGTGAGATGTTACGTGTGTGTGTTGTATTATGTTGGGGTGTTTGTGTTCATGTTTGGGGTTTGATGTAATTCTTTAAGGTAGGGATGGGTCACTATACTCAATTAATTGGCTAGGCAACAACTTACTAGTTGAATTAGGGCTGTGCAATAAATTGAAAAAAAAAGAAAGAAATCATGATATGGCTTAGTGTGATTACAACATTGCAAAGGCTTTGATTTAATTAAATACATATGCGCTTAAATATATATACACTGTAAAAAAATTCCGTAAAATTTACGGTAAAAAAACGGCAGCTGTGGAGGTAAGGGATGGATCCTTTGCTGAATCTAAAATGCTGAATATAACCACCGAAGAACAAATACTTTTAAGATCAGACTTTGCGATATTGCTCTTTGAATTCTTTCAGTGTGAAAAGCCATTGTCCACTGGAGACTTGTCGCATCACGTCGGGTATTGTTAAGTTGTCTGTAAGTAAGCAGAAGCCTCTTCAAGCAGCATGCCTTCCCCCACATGCCGCAGCTCAATACCGATGAGTGCTGGACGATTGATGGGCTGATCACCAGACGATCACTAACATTTCAGCATTCAAAAAAAAAGGTGTAATTCTTTATGAACTGTTAGACTATGAAACGCATCGTTTCATGTTCTTATAGAGGAGACAGAAGTAACACAACTGTTTAAAAATGAACGGGGCGCAGGTGCAGGATGAACGGAAGATGAAGGGGATCTGGAGCGCCTAAAGCGCGCATCTGCCCAGACTCCCGACCGGTCAATAATCGCAACGCTGTTCAATAACCGATTCTACTCACATTCTTTTATCATACGGCTGGAGCTGCCGGTGCAAGGCGAGAGAGAATCCAAAGAGGCTGCCCGGTTGACCGTTCTTCCTAAGGACGTTTTGCGTGTCCAGGTTAAATGCACTTGTAGAAGTCCATATGAGCAATGACAAAACGCACAGGTTCCGAGAGAGCCCCTCGTCAAAGAGCCCCATTGCCTCTAATTAATATGGTTGTATGAATATAGCCCTTGTTTGCGGTAGTTCCCGCAGCACTGAGAGGACAGCAGCCGTAATCTGCACTGCACTGCGCTCAATAAGAGAGAGAGAGAGAGAGAGAGAGACCCCTCGCCCCTCCTCTCTCGCTCCTGTCCCCTCAGCGCCCTACGTCACTTTTGAAAGATGGGATGGGATGAGTCTCACCCGGTCTATATCATAGTGTTTGTCATATACATGCATTTTGATCTTGTTAATAAATTTAAAAAAAAGTCTCACCCGGTCTCACCCCATCCACGCGGATGCAATTTATGAACACTGTGTCATCAAGTTGCTTGAATTTATTGTCAAAGTTACTATTCATAGGCGAAATATGTGCGCTTACACATTCTGGGTATTCATTTAGATCTTGGAAAATGAATGACATCTTTAGATAATTAAATTAGAAAAATTAAAAATATAATATACGGCACTCTAAAAAATGCTGGGTTAAATACAACCCAGTGCTGGGTACTTTTAGAACAGCATTTTTTTTGAGTGTGTATGTATGCATATCATTCAAATGTATTGTGTAAGTTCTCTGTGATATACAGCGGTGGTTGGTCACAGATCTCTGTCTGCACTCACGCACTGGTAGCCTTCTGCCACTGCTCATTTGCATATTGCTTATTGCAAGTTGAGTACTGATGTACATCATCAATGGCCTTTGTCAAAAAATATTATATTGGATAATTACTGATGACTAATTACTAGGGTAGAATTGTGCATTGAGGGCACACAAATGCACACTCACTTCGAAAAACTAAAATACAGCTTAGTGGACTTCACTGTCAAACTCTCACAATGAGCATTAGAATATCTTTTTTCCAAAAATATGATTTCTTTAACTGTAAGACTGGACTAAAGCTGCCATATAGTTATCATTACAATTTCACCCATTTATATACTGTATGTGCAAGTGGCAATGTCTCTGGAATACTTGGGGCCAGTTGCATAAAATTAGCCTCTATGTTAAAATACATAGAGTATATATAGATTAATTTTCTGGACTTTTTTTTCTCATTTTGTCTCTCATAGTTGAGGTATACCTATGATGAAAATGACAGGCCTCTCTCATCTTTTTAAGTGGGAGAACTTGCACAATTGGTGGCTGACTAAATACTTTTTTGCCCCACTGTATATATATATATGACCAGTCTTAAAGTAAATAAATAAATAAAAACTAACTTGTAAGACTAGTCTAATCCTTACAGTATATGTAACCTATTCTATTCTAGTTTTTCATGACTTAAATCTGTAAAATCTGCACTACAGAATCCTAAAAGGTTTACGATTTAGATTGGTCTTAAAACAAAATAAAAGAAGATTATAATTTAATTATAGAGGAATAGAAAACAACAACAAAAAGGCCCAACATGCACTACTGTGCATAGGCTACGCTACACAAAAATCCTTTAATCTGTGTTAGGTAAGGTCTGTTTATGTAATTTCTCTGATAGAAAATAAAGACAAATTCAGTTTACTATGCGACTGCGGGGCGCACTTGCGGTGTAGACAGTCTAGTGGATTAGGCTAATGACAGCATTCTTGGTTTGTTGCATTGAGTTGTTCACTTGCACTGTAGAGGGCTGTTAGTCTACCGCATCTGAATGATTTTTAGATTTAAGGAAAGAGCGGTCACTGATAGGGCTAAAATGTAAGATGCGCTTGTGTCAGGCCGGAGAGAAGCATTGATCCCGTGCTGTCCATATGGACGGTTAGTCGATCAAGTGTGAACCAAATAATGTGATCCTGATAAACCAGAGCACACAGCTGATAGTCAAGAACTGTGGAGATGATTACAGTACACTGAACCGTTCAAAAATACATGTTTTGTTTTAAAGAATGTAAAATGCAGTGTTAATATTAATAATATTATATATGTATATTTCTCTTTCTCTAAAACATGAATCTTTGTTTATTCCAGACACCCAATACTTCGTATCTAAAATCATATTTAGGCAGGCCATTATGGATGAAGTATGTAATTGCAAAAATTGCTATTTTAACTCCCAAATTTGCTTTATATCTGTAAACATATTGGCAGGGAGTATATACTAACTTAATTATTGTTTGAATATATTTGCTAGTCCACCACTAAAATCCCATTAGTCTGTGATGCTGCACTTAACCTATGCAGATTATAATATTTTTATTTGGAAAAACTCTTCCTGGCAATGAAACAATGTGAGATCACACACACACACACACACACACACACACACACCGTATGCAGGCATCAGTTCTCACCCAGGCTGGCGCATAAAGTGTATCATCATCATTGTTTTACCACAAAGAGTATTACCGTAAATGGTCTCTTTCAGGAAATTAATAACCATCATCCATGACGGAAAAACAATGGCTTCACCTCTACTGATCAATATGTTAGGATCCTCCTGCGGTTTAGACATGTGGTTTGCTGGATGATGGAAGAGTTGAAGTGTTGCCTGTGTGCTACAGTACACTGACAATCTCTGAGGTGCATGAATATTGAATGTAAAAATCAGTACATGATCAAATGGAATCATTTATTAGCCATTAGGATTTGTAAATAATGAGAGGGTGTGAATACAGAGAGGGTGTGAATTCTGATCAGTTCTGTTAAGGATGGAAGGATTTTGCATCCTTCCTGTTCTCAGACCGTGACATTCTTGTGCCTTGGCACGACCTTAAAGTGGAAAAACTATTCGCTGCCAGCCAGTATCTCTCTGAAACACACTCCTTTCAGGAATGCCAAATTATCTAATGCATCATGAATCTTGCAGGAGAAAAAGAGAAAGTCATGCAGGGTCATCTAAGCCTTGAATGACAGGGCCCATGTGTGCCGGGTGACTCGCCAGCCCACACTTTGGTCTGATAGTACAGGAAACAGGAAGAATGTGAAGGGCACTGTTGTGTGAGCACTGCTGATTCACTGCATGGCCACTTACAGTCTCTCAACATCACAAAAGACTGGAGACCAACAATGTGACCTATGCAGAGAATTTGACCCTGCAAGTAGATGTGACGGGATGTGATTGTGAGGTCATCGATTCGTTGTGCATTATGAACTTTGTTCAGCCAACATGGTACATTCAAATCAGGGAAACTGCTTCATACAGGAAGAAATATTCATTTGAAAGACTTGAACTGACTGATAATCAGAAGTTTTTTTTCTTCTATAAATCTTGATAGAATCAAGTAATGCTTGATGCTCAAGAATCATTAAAGGGATAGTTCACCCAAAAATGGAAATTCTGTCATCATTTACTCACCCTCACGTCGTTCCAAACCTGTATGAGTTGCTTTCTTATGTTGAACACAAAAGAAGATATTTTGAAGATTGCCGGTAATCAAACAGTTGGTGGTTGCCATTGATTTCCATAGTATTATTTTTTTCCTACTATGGAAGTCAAAGGCAACCACCAACTGTTTGATTACCGGCAATCTTCAAAATATCTTCTTTTGTGTTCAACATAAGAAAGCAACTCATACAGGTTTGGAACGACGTGAGGGTGAGTAAATGATGACAGAATTTCCATTTTTGGGTGAACTATCCCTTTAAGTATGTCTTTCAAAGCAGGATTAAACATTGTTTATGATGATCAACATTAACTAAAACTTAAACTTTAACTTGGAGATAATTATTAAAGACACATAACAGTTGCTTTGTTAGCCAAGGCTGTGTGAGGCCATTTGGGGACACAGTTGTAAATCCTGTGTGATTTTGCAAAACACAACAAAACAAAACAAAACAACACAACACAACAAAACAACACAACACAACACAACACAACACAACACAACAAAACAAAACACAACACAACAACACAAAACAAAACAAAACAAAACAAAACAAAAAAAACACAAACCAACACAAAACAACAAAACATAACAAAACAAAACAAAACAAAACAAAACAAAACAAAACAAAACACAACAAAACACAACACAACACAACACAACAAAACAAAACACAACAAAACACAACACAACACAACACAACACAACACAACAAAACAAAACAAAACACAACACAACACAACAACACAACACAGCAAAACAAAACAAAACAAAACACAACAAAAAACAAAACAAAACACAACACAACACAACACAACAAAACCTCCTCCTGGTCGTAAATTGATAAATATACACCTACCAGGCCAATTAATTGGCTGATATTTCAGTCTTTTTAAACTCTTGGTATTATTAGTCAATAAATGTTGCTGATTGAGAGAAGTGTTAATTCTTCATTGTGTCATTTAGGCTTAATAAAAAGTAATCCACATTTTCTGTTTACAAATATTTTAATATTACAGTTTTTGCCTATTGCTTGAACACTTTTTGCAAAACTTCGGCTCATTGTGTCAGAACTTTACACACAAGCACACAAGACACAACACTGGGAAATAAACCATTCACATCTATGTCGAATTGAAACTCTGCTATCAAAACCTAACAATCCTTTGTCAAAATGTCACTCTGATGACAAAATGATACACATTAGCAGCAACACACTAGTGTACTTTATATAAAACACTGCAGTCTTTAATTTTCACTGTTTTTTTTCAGTTCATCAGTTAGCATTCTGTGAAGCTCAATGCAACACTTACAGTTTTTGTTCTGTTTTTTTCCAACAAAGGTTTTCACAACAACCAAAAATGAAAGCACTGAAAGGTTACAAATTACATCAACTCAATACTGCACATCACAGTACAGTACAGTACAGTAAATGCAGTAATGCTAAAATAATACAAAAATAAAACACAAAATACACTACTGTAAATACAGAAAAACAGGCCAATTGTGCGTGGGTGGGATTACAGATGCTGCCGTCTGTTTGTGTCTGGCCACAGGATCTCATCAATGTTGCTCTAATATCATCTGAAATATTGTTCCGTGCATAGCCTCTTCGACCATGTCCTACTCCTCTCTCTCTTTGTCTTCCTCTTCCTCTTCCTCTTCCTCTACCTCTTGCTTTCCCTGCCTCCATGCTTGCAAAGTTCTCAAAATGGCTCAACTGAGGCCTATTTGTGGTTGGCTGATTGGTGATCA